AGACTGAACATTCAATAGGATATTTTCTTGGTTGGCTTTGATGATGTACTGTAAATCTAGGGTTTTTTTAGCTGACAACATTTTGTAAGTATTGTCTAACGTAATAAATGTAAAATTGGATGGAAAAATGGAAAAATCAGGGAAAAAGTTTGTATCAATTACCATCAAGATATTACACCTTTTGCTGTTCATTAGCGTAAAACGTACATTCATTTGTGCCAAGCGTTGCTTCAATAACTTTTATTGTACTTTCTTGAACACCGTAAGCAACATCATTGGCGCGAAACGACTTTCAATAGCGATATTTAAATACGTGCGAGCATTCAACAGTATCAATAGACAATCAACTGAACGACTGGACAATCATTTGGGTGGAACGTTGTTTCATCTGCGCGCAATGAAAATTCAATAGCACCAATTGACAAACGGTTGCATTTATTGACAATCATTCAACCAAAAATGAAACTTCATTAGTGTTATTAGCATAAACATAGGCAATCTATAGTGCGTTTTGACAATCATTTGAGCGATTCAAAATACAATAACACAAAAGAAAAAATCAATACTAGTGCTTGTCATTTCTATTTAAATTTCAGCCTTCCATAAATGATAAACTCTCTGTTAATACAACGGGGTAGATATGTTTGGATAAAACGGAGCCAGCCCACATTTAGCTGGAATGATTGTTTTAATACTATTTCGATTCAAAGCCTCCAAAAGCAGCTGTGTGCGGTAATGGCCCATAGCAAGGCCTTGATTTCTTGCTTCATCTMGATTATTCATTTCTTGTTGTATTGCGGGACTTTTATCTGCTTTCATCGCCGCTTTCAAGGATCTTATTGCTTGTTCCACGATGTTTAGAAATAGACTGTAAGGCGGCAATTTTTTCATCTCAGTGTTTGCACCTGGAATGAMTGGATTGTGATGGGCTGGGGCACCATCGTAAATGAAAATGACGTTTTCATCGGGATCAAGATTAAAACGCGCCTTTACCATAAAGTCGTTAAATTTCTGTGAATTCATTCCTAATTGATCGGACAATTGAAGAGTGGAAGACAAGCCCAGTGTGCCCGAGTGCAACAGTTACGTATCTTCCACTTTGACCGCAGACTCTCCTGTAGGCCCTTTCTCCTCTTCTCGCTCTACCTTCAAGACTGCGGTATTATTATATTTTTTTACACGGACAATCACGGCAATTTCATGCTGAAAAATGAGCAATCTTTTATGTTTTAGCTTTTTTTATCCATGAACATTCAAAAATACAAAAGTAGTATTGATGCATTACCTATAGATGGTTCATTAATTATATATTCAATCTTATGTACATATGCATGCCGTTGCATAAATATCACAAAAAATTCAGGTTCACTCAAGCGAATTGGTCTCGTGGCTTAATGGTTAGGTCTAGGGATAATATCGGGTTAGGCAATACATAGCGCTGGTTCGAATCTTAGTACTCGTTCTTCAAACATTTCTTTTCGGTTTAAGTTTAGGTCTTTGAAATTTTCTAAGTTCTTCTCCACGTAATTGGGACATCAGCACCTTCTATGTGCACATCAGCGCCGTACATGCACAACCATATATGGAAGTCGTACGACAAACCCTTCTCCGTTTGTCAATTGGTGCTATTGAATTTTCATTGCGCGCACATAAAACAACGTTCCACCCAAATGATTGTCCAGTCGTTCAGTTGATTGTCTATTGATACTGTTGAATGCTCGCACGTATTTAAATATCGCTATTGAAAGTCGTTTCGCGCCAATGATGTTGCTTATGGTGTTCAAGAAAGTACAATAAAAGTTATTGAAGCAACGCTTGGCACAAATGAATGTACGTTTTACGCTAATGAACAGCAAAAGGTGTATTCAGTATATATTTTTGATGTTTACATGTTTCACCAATCATAATCACGCTGCAAGAAACGTTCTGCTCTCTGGTTGTATTTAACTGAAGAATGTGCAACGAAGCATTTTTTAATGATGGAAAGAGCCTTTGAATTCTTAGTTTTGCAGTCTTTCATTCGGTAATAAAGACCCATCTTGCTTGTAAACGGCATTCCAAGAATTTTTATACCTGCATCTAAGCTATTTCTGCGAAATTTGGCGATCGATGACAGAAATGGTGTGATAAATCTGAATTCATGTAATTACACAAACATCTTTATTGATTCACCTATAAAAAAATGCATTCCAATACTTTTAGGTTGGTCTAGTTGTTGGCTGCAAAGGCCGATCAAAAGAAAACGCCTTCGCTTCCAGACAATTCCACGGAAAACATTCTTTCTGTTGATCCTGACCTATCGGTAAGTATAAGTAAAACAATTCAAAGAAACTTAGGTAAAATACGTGTAAGAAGTAGGCAACTCTCTATTGTTCTGCGGTAATTGCAACTTCTTAGGGCTCCCATTGATAACAGTGCACATGCAACTGATGGGACCACACTTAGCTTTATGATAAATAAAGGTTTATTCATTCATTCATTCACTCACACATACAAATGTACTGGTTTTCACACTCATTATCTATCAGTCAATGGGTAATACA